ATTTAACTCTTCAGTTAAATTAATGGATGTAATTTTGTAGTAAAAGTGCACTCATGACTATATAGATTCACTTCTTGAAGTCTTAAAAAGCATTTTTTTGCAATAATAAAAACAAAAAAAAGCAAAAAAAAAAAAACCTTTCTCAGTTGTCCTCAAACAATAATAAAAAACTCATGATGTGGTTTTTTACTGATTATCTGTATGTTTTCAGGTCTGTTTTGTCAGGAAAAATGTGCTTCATTTTAAATATCTGAGAAGAACGAGGATTTTGAAATCATCTAAACCTCTAAAATCTCCTGAGGTCCAATTATTTAGTGAATTTTAAATTTCCTTCTGTTAGGATCAAAGACATAAACATTTAAATTTAAATCTAATTTTATGGTCTCATATCAAAAAGGAGGAATGTCTGAAAAATAAAATTCCAGGCTGAACGACCAAAACTGGTGTCYATCTGCTGATTCACACTGCATGACCAAGTCAGTGCTTTAATATATTTTTCCATTAAAAACGTGAGTTAATGACTTATTTTTTGACACATCAAGGTGTGAAATCAGAGAACCTGGACTCAAACTCATCCTGTTTTTAATTTGTTGATTTTAAAGTAGAAATTTTCTGTTAATTAGGAGAGGGAAGAGCTTCCATAAGATCTTAGTGAGGATTTTCTTATTTAGTTTTTTTATTTGTAGCATTTTGTAGTTTTTATAAATGCTAACAAAAAGTGGTACCTTGTCCGAGCGTCCGTTGTTGAGGCTGAGGTTGCTGACGGAGGCCAGCTTGGCGTCGATGGCCTGCTGCTCCCCCTTCAGCTGCTCCTTCATGTGCCGGGCCTCGGCGAAGGCCTTGCTCACCGCCTCGTGGTCGTTCAGGTAGGTCGTGGAYGAGAGCGACGACAACAAGTCTGCTGAGACCCAGTGGGGACAGAAAGCTGGGTTAGTTTTTCATCTGTCACGTCTCGTRTAAACACAACTTTCCTTTAAAACAAAGGAAGAGAACACCTTAAAGCCAGCTGTTTACTGATGTTTTCAGCAGCTCTGACGTTGGTTCTGAACAAAGAGCCTCTGCTGCTTTATGAGGCCTTCATCTGCAGTAATCCGCACCACTAATGCCATCTCAGGCCAGATTACCGGCCTTAGATTGGTAATGACAGAGCCGTGAACTCTCAGAAGTCATAACCYCAAAATCTGGATGTTAGTCAGGTTTAAAAAATGAAAATAAAACAAAGTGGGGTTGAAGGGGAGGGCAGAGGAGAAGAGGGTAAAAGAATCGGGCAGGAGTCAATTTTAATCTGCCGTCAAAATAAAAGCCTGGGTTTTGGGGGGGGGGGGTTGGAGCGATGGAAATTCTCCCTCACACATAATTGTGTGTTCGCCTGAACTGACAGCCTCGACAACTGTGGGGGGTTTTCTCCTCTTGCTTTTACTRCCACAASTTTATTTATTTATTTATTTATATTTGGGGCAGAGAGCTCGGAGGGCAGAGAGCAACGTGTGATGGTGGATGAAGTTACAGGCGCTGACAGCCCTTCAGTTTGGCTTCAGACGACGAGATGGATGGATGGAGGAAACGTGTGAGAGAAACYTGCCCCTGGGTGGAAAGGTGTCAAAGGGAAGAGGAGGAGGTACGCTGTGGCACCGCGCTAAAACTCATAATTACTGCAGCTTATTTTATCACCAAACAGTCTCAAAGGTTCTCGACGCAAAGATGGAATCAAACATAAAAACTATATTTGGTGCCGCTTCAAAAAATTTACTCCATCAGTGTTTCCAGATATATCACTGTGAAATGCAGGTTTGCATACAACGTAAACAAAGCATTCTGCTGAATCTGCACAAAACAATGTGGGAGCTTGAACCACCTAAAAAGTCTGTGTAACAAAAATARGGTGGAATCAGACGAAATAAAAGTGACGAGTTTTAAAACTAAATAGTCATGTTTACATTTATGAGCTAAAGTATGTTTTAATTTCTGTACAAATARACAACATGGAGGGACGGTTCGTCTTAAACCAGGGCTATTCAACCAAACTGCTCRGGGGMCCACAGTTACTGCAYGCCAACAGCTCAGGGGCCGAACATCCAGTAATTAAAGTCATTCTTTAAATAAACCAAGTATTACAAAGATCTGTTACCTTTGAAAAAGTTTATTTTGCTGCATTTAATCATGAATACAAGAGAACCCTTTATAATAAATGTAATGATAATAAAATAATATCAAAAACAAAAATAACACTATTTAACACAATTTATTTTGACATCTCTGACTGGCCAAATGTTTAAACAAATTTTTTCTCACTTTCATAGTTTTATCTTCAACTGCTTGTAGTTTTATCTGRCTTGAATGTTCATAGAAATGTTTTTTTACCAGCTTGGAGCCAAGATCCTGACGTTTCTGTAGATACCAAAAGAACTTATCAGAGTTAAAGTGGAAAACTGGGGGTTTGGGTTTAAGAGATGATTGAACCAGTTAGCGGGCCGAACTTTGGTCACTTGCAGGCCGGATGRGGCCCTCGGGCTGTCAGTTGAATAACCCTGTTTTAAACCATCAGTAACAATATGATGTCAATCTAACTGGTCAGCTCTTATCTGTTGTGGTGAACCTCAAGTGTCTGTTTCAGGGTCTTTTCCATTCTGATACGCTGCCTGTGAGGTATAAAAGAAATGTCTATTCATCGTTACGCTGATGACAACTTGATATATTTGTTTCTTAAACTTGATGTTTTGCAAGAGTTAACTGATATATTTGGTCTGAACTGTCTGATTCTTCAGGTTTGCTCACAAAATGAGCAACATGCATCAGTTTATAAGGGTAGTTTTTTTCTACTTTGTTAGAATTGTTTGTATTTTATTGTCTTTATTTTATTGACAGTGATCCTGTTTGTTCCTAACCAGCTTGTTGTTTTTAAATGTTAATTATTGACAAATGTTCTTGTTGATTCAGTCTGCTCAGCTGCTTTTAAAGTAAAAGAAATGCATTATTAGCATCTGGTAACATCTTTTGCTTACAAATTTTCAAATAATGAAAACCTATGAGAATACTGCAGACCACTTCTTGTTTTCTATGATTTGACTGACATCTTGAATTTGCGAGTGGCTTTGAGTGCCACTTTTTAAATTCTAAATCCGCACATCTGTTCCTGCTTCTGCTTAAATAATCATAAGTAAATATTGCGCGGCATAAAGCCCACAGACACACAAATCAAATCGACCACCCGCTTCCAATTTGTCTGCCCCCTCAATCCACTCTGAACCTGTAACATGAACCCTGATGCTGAATCTGTAATACGGAGAGAGCGGCTAAAACTCAGCGGCAACAGATGGAGCTATCAGGGATCTGACACAGACAAATCATTCAGTAAGAGAGCGAGGACGGGGGGTGGAGGGGGGGGGGCAGATCACACACTAACTTAAAACACTGTAATCCATTTTTCTGAACAAAAAACATCTGGGACCAAAAATCCACTAATCTGATATTAAATCCGACGATTTGTTGAAAAACAGTGAGATTAGCCAGGAAGTCAGGGGGAAAAAATGACTAACTGCCTTACTGCAGAGGAGGAGGAGGAGGAGGTAGGATTGTTGTGTGAGGCTTTGTGTGTGTTGGAGTGTGTGCTCTGTCATTGTGTCATTAATGCCAAACGTTTTGCGCTGTCCTGGCTCATGTAAGAGGCTTGTCTAATCTCATTGGTGATACCTCCTGTCTGTCATGCACTCCTCTCTTTATTATTCCCCCGCTTCATTGCTCCCAAAAAAAAGTGCTAATCCTCATCTCTCCCCTCTTCCCTTCTTATCCTCACTCCTATGTCTCTGTCTCTTTCAGTCACTAATAAACACATAACAATGAAGCAGCCTGCAGGCAAATAACTGCACAGGAAGAAAAAAAACAACACTAATTATAGCCCTTTACATATGTGTAATATTTGAACTATCAGTGCTGCATGAAAAATGGATTAGGAGTACAAAATGGTGATTCATTTATGTCACATTTTCTGTACGTGTGCATATGGCTGGGTATGATTATGAAACTGGCACGAGCAACAATAGTTCCACTGTGAGCAAAAACGCTATTTGTGTCAAAGCTACGGCTAACACAACCTTTAACAAGCTAATTGTCATTACAGCAACAATCTGCACAACACTTTCTGTTTTTATATACAGCTAAAATAACGTTGTGGCGCTGCATTCAAGGAAACTAATACTGAGTGCAGAAATCGCTTCGTTCTGCTGTTCTGTTTTGGCCAAAATTAGAATCAGTAATAATAAATTTACACAATTAAATTTCAATAAAGGCAGCAATTAGATATGCAGGATTTTTGCCAGCATCTGATATGRAAATATTAACTTTTTCTTTTCAGACCAACTGCTGATGCCAAAAGAAAAATAATCAAGTCTGTTAGTTGAAGGAACTGAGAGTTTTTACACTTATTATAAACTTACAAAAATTAGCATTTAAAATGAACCATGTTTATTTTTAAGATTAACTCTTTAGGCGACATTGTACAACTCTATAAACTTTGAAGAGCCTGGATCGTCGTCTCCCAGAACTAAAAACTATGACTTAAAGAAGAGGTTATTCTGAGCTATAATAGTTGGTTTCCAAATACATTAACATGCAGGTATGCACTRAGTGTAAACACAACACTCAGCTTGTGTTCGACCCACATCAGGATGTAGTCTGTAGGTCAGGGGTCTGCAACTTTTACAATCAAAAATGACATTTATTTTACTCATTTCACTAATGTGATTTTCAACTGGTGGTCTGTGGGCCTCTGAGTTTGTTGAAGTGGTCGTTTCCGGCCAGTTGGGGCGAAAAATAAGTAGTGAGTTTGAACATTTAATATAGGGTTGGGCGGTATGACCTCAAATTCATATCACGGAATAAATTGAATCCCTTCAGGGTAACGGTATAAATCACCGTAGAGAATTATCATAAAGTTAAGATAATGTATTTTTTAGAACATTTTTTTGCAGAAAACTGTAATCTTAATTAAACCCAACGTTTTTGCTTTAATATCTACCTGCCAAACAATGAGTTTCTGCCTGCTGAACTGATCAGCTGCTGCTCTGCTGCGCGCTCATCTTCATCATCAGAGCAGAAGCCGACTTTACATTAGCAAGATGGATTTACGACTGAACGAACGTCCACGTCTTTTTTTAAAATAATTTCTGACACATTAACCATTTTTTATTGTTTTCATGACTTTACAAGGAGTCTTTCTTGGCTTTTGGTTAAGTTTGTTTCTTATCACTTTTTGAGTTAATGKAGGTTTTTGTTGGTAGATGAATAAAGGTTTATTTGTTGTGCTGGATGTGCAACAATAAGACCATAAATAAAGACATGGTTTACTCCTCAGACTGGAGCTGTGAGGTGTGTGACGTCCTGTGYTTTGCTACTGGAGTCCACTTACCTATTGAGCTAACTCTGCTGGGCGGTCCTCCGATGCTGGAGGGCACGGCGCTGTGCTTCATGGAGCCGGCGGGGCCCAGCTTGGTGGCGGCAGCAGCAGTGGGAACCTGTGGGGAAGTTGGGGGGGAGTTGGGTGACTTGCTCTCGGATGCCTTAGGCTTGGCCGACAGGTTCAGTGGCTGTGCGCCCTCACTGCCCTGCAAAAACCAAAACAGCACAGTTTCGCCCGCTGTGACCACCGTAAGAGATTTGGGGGCGGAGGGGGACACCCTCGCGTCTCCCCCACGACCGGGACCGTGTGCCAATTCAACGTGAAGCCCATGCACAGCAATCTGAGGCGGGGCGACCAGGCGACGCGGTGCATGCCACTGCCCCATCTTAAAACGGCTCAGAACAACCAAACACATTAAACACTGACAATCACATGCTCCTGCAGCAGCAAAGCCACTCTGGAAACACTCATGCACATGCACGTGCACACTCCACATGAACATGCAATATATCGCAGCTCATGGACATTTCAAGCAGCAACCAAACCCATTATTTAATTTCCAAACTGCAGATAGTTCCTCTTTTTATAGGCGAGAGCATCTAAAGAAGCTGAGAACTCTACTGCAGCGGTATCTGCCTCAAACACAACCAAACGTGTTCACCACTACTGCACTCCAACTAAACAACTCCAAAGAAACTTTTTWAATATTTTCTATCCAACCCCAAGAACAATAAAGTTGGGATGTTGTGTAAAAACAGACAGAATGCATTGATGTTCAAATCCAATAAACTCAATAAAAGTTTTATGGTGGCAACATGTCATAAAATTWAGATTTGCAAATCACTGCTTTCTGTGGAWTTCATTTTTTACAAAACATCCCAAGATTAATAGATATGGAGTGATGACCTCATCACAACAACCTCTAAGTAAATGTGGACCACCACAWGTACTGTCATGGCAACATCAACCCCCGCTGATGACCTAATCCAATCAGGGCTAACTCGAGAGGGTCACATGACAGGAGGGGGAGCAGATGTACACGAACCACTCGGCATTTTGAAAATAATTAAAAACCAAACGCAACGTGGGACAAAAGGGCAAGACGGTTAAAATAGTTTGGAGACAGTTTGTTGGCTAAAATAGTGATAAAGTATCAGTTTGGAGACAGTTTGTTGGTTAAAATAGTGATAAAGTATCAGTTTGGAGACAGTTTGTTGGTTAAAATAGTGATAAAGTATCAGTTTGGAGACAGTTTGTTGGTTAAAATAGTGATAAAGTATCAGTTTGTTGGCAGTTTGTTGGTTAAAATAGTGATAAAGTATCAGTTTGGAGACAGTTTGTTGGTTAAAA